ATTATATTGTTCACGATGCACAGGTACCAACCATGCAAAAGAGAATTGTAGATTTATTTCAAGTAAATGTAATTTCTGTGGGAAAACTGGGCACATTAAACAGGCATGCTTCGCATCTAAAAGGCAAATGCGAAATCGGTTAAACAAAAACAGGTAACTCTATTAAATGAAGTTGAAGATAGAAATAGAATTCCACTATACGAATTAAAAACTCAGGATTATATATTACACGAGGAAGAACCAAAACGACCTCAATTATGATAAATTTAAAAATTGAAAACAAAAGTTGTTCTATGGAATTGGATACGGGGAGCGGTTAGTGTAATGAGTATTGGAAATTTCAGGAAAATTTCAAATAAACAAATTAAACCTACAAATATAGTTTTAAAACATATAAAGGAGATTCAATTATACCATTAGGATATGTTACTGTAAGGGTACAATATAAAAATCAAAAGTAAACTTGAACTTATACATTGTGAAAGAAAACTTAGATACTATTCTGGGTCGGGAATGGCTCTATAAAATTCATTTAGATTGGCCGGCTATTAAAGCCTTTAGAGCAAAAACTGAACAAAATTTAAATAACCTTCTAAGAGAGTATAAGGATATATATTTTCGATGATAAATTAGGAGAAATAAACAATTATGAGGCTAAATTAAAAACTCAGACATGGAGTGAAACCTATATTTTGTAGGGTTCGAACAGTACCCTTTGCTCTCAAAGGTAGAGTTGAAAACGAAATTGACAGACTTGAAAAAGAGGGTATCATAGAAAAAGTCGACAGCTCTGAATAGGCAACCCCAGTAGTCCCTGTTGTTAAATCCGATGGTAGTATAAGACTATGTGCTGATTATTCAGTAACCCTGAATCAAATTTAATTGTTCCTCAGCATCCTTTACCAAGATTGGATGAAATTTTGGTAGTTTAAATGGGGAAAACAATTTACAAATTAGATTTTAAGCATGCATATTTGCAAATGAAAGTCCATCCCGACAGTCAGAAATTAATGACTATAAATACCCACAAGGGATTATATATTTGTAAAAGACTTATGTATGGATTAAATGGGGCACCTGCTATTTGGCAGCGCTATATTGACGGACTATTTCAGGGTATGGATGGAGTCAAGGTCTTTATGGATGATGCTAGAATAACAGGGAGCGATGAAATTTCGCATTTTACAGCTTTAGAGGAATTTTTTAAGAAATGTAGAGAACACGGGCTAAAGCTTAATTTAAATAAAAGTAAGTTTTTCCAAAATGAAATAAATTTTCTTGGACATAGAATCGATTCAAAAGGGTTACATAAAACTGACGAAAAAGATCTCAGCCGTTGTAAATGCTCCTGTACCCTGAAATGTTCATGAAGTAAAAAGTTTCTTAGGGTTAGTTAATTTTTACGGGAAATTTTGTGAAAATTTAGCTACTATTGCTAATCCTCTTAATAATTTAACAAAAAAAAAAAGTTAGATTTTTATGGTCGAAGGATTGCCAGGTTGCCTTTGAGCAAATAAAGAAGGAAATTTGTTCACCTAAAATTTTGGTGCATTATGATCCTAGCCTACCTTTAACTTTAGCTAGTGATGCATCTCCAGTTGGCATTGGTTGTGTTCTGTCACACGTATATCCAGATGGCTCTGAACGTCCGATCGCGTTCGCATCAAGAACTTTATCTGGGTCCGAGAAAAATACTCCCAAATTGATAAAAAGCTCTTTCAATAGTTTGGGCAGTAAGAAAGTTTTATCTATATTTGAAAGGTAGAAGATTCACTTTGATAACAGATCACAAACCTTTGATAGCTATTTTGGTTCAAAAAGAGGTTTACCAGTGTTGGCAGCTACCCGACTTTTTTACATTATGCGCTCATTTTGCAGTCATTTGAGTTTGATATAATATTCCGTAAAACGATTGAACACGGAAATGCAGACTTTCTTTCTCGTTTACCAAAAACATCCGAAGAGCTTGAAGTTAAAGATGACATCACAATATTTCAGATGTCACAGATTGAAGCATTACCGGTTACTTCTAAGGAGTTACGACAGGAGACGAGTAAAGATATAGAGCTGGGTCCACTCTTAAGAGCCTTAAGGGAAGGTAAAGATTTGCAAGGGAGGAAGCCCACAGTATACCATTGAGGATGGTTGTATTGTGTACGGACAAAGGGTCTGTATTCTAAGGAAATTTCGGAAGAACGTTCTGAAGAATTACATGCTGGACACTTAGGAATAGTAAAAATGAAGGCTATAGCTAGATCGTTCGTCTATTGGAAAAATATAGATAACGATATTGAAGAAGCCGCAAAAAACTGTCGATTGTGCTAGATATAAGACTGATCCTCCAAAATCTAAAGTTCATTACTGGGAATATCCCAGTATGCCCTGGGAACGTATTCATGTAGATTTTGCTGGACCAATTTTTGAACACACGTTTTTCCTGATCGTTGACGCTCATTCCAAATGGTTAGAAGTATACCCTATGAAGGTAACCACAACCAAAAAAACCATCGAATGTCTTCGAGATAGTTTTGCAAGATTCGGATTACCTAGGGTACTTGTCAGCGATAATGGATCTCAGTTTACATCATATGAATTTCAGCGATTTATGCATAAAAATGGAGTTAGGCACAAAACTAGTGCACCTTTCAAGCCTTCTAGTAATGGACAAGCAGAACGTTATGTTGCTACTTTAAAGCAATCATTAAGAGCTATGCATAAATACGAAGGTACTATACAGCAGAAATTAAGTACATTTTTAATGCAATACCGAAAAGCTCCTAATGTAACTACAACACTTAGTCCAGCCATGTTATTCTTAAAAAGAGACATTAGAACCAGGATAGATTTACTTTTACCTGAATTGAAAACAAAAATTCAGGATAAATTACGAAGAGATAATTTCGAATTCGAGATAGGAAATTTGATGTTGGAGATCGAGTGGCTGTGAGAGTTTACAGAGCAGCTAATACTAGATGGAAGTTTGGTACCATTGTAAACCAGGATGGCGTACTCCACTACATCATTGATGTTCAAGGAACCCTCGTGAGACGACATGTTGATCAGATCCGTCCAGTGGGGGATAAAGTGCAAGAAAACATCATTCCACTTATGCACCAGAGATTTCCATCATCAGAGGTTCGAGAAAACAACTCTAATATTCAGCATGCAGAAACGGCGGAAGATATTTCTAAGGATCGGAACAAGGAATTGGGTTCATCTTCCGTACAAGGAGTGCCATCAACTGATGTTGCGGTTCCAGATCTATCACAGTCTTCAGCTAAAGAGACTGACTCCGAGACGAGGAGTCCACCAGTTCCAGACAGGCCATTTCCTAGGCGTTCCGGGAGAATCAGGCGGCCTCCGGAGAGACTTGTTCTTTAAGGAGGGAGGAGATGTGGTATATTGAACTGTAACCAGTGATGTGGTATATTGAACTGTAACCAGTTAAAGACTTAACTGTGACTGAGTGGAGGATTGTATATAAATAACACGCAACTATGAAATTGTATCTGTAATTTGTAATGTGTTGTACAGTGAAGTAGAGATATATTAAAATAATATTTTAAGGAGGAAGTCGTTCAAATGTGCATCTAATTATAGTTTGAACTCACACAACACAACAAAAATCGGAGGCAAAATATTTTTTGGACGAGAAAAATTGAGGTTCCTCATTTAAAAAATGTATCCGTCCATTCTGGCCACTTGCATCGAGGACGTATCCCATTCTGTAGTTTATCTCAAGCACACATTCAGACTATCCTAATCATCGTAGTCAGCTCGTATTTAGGGAAATTTTTTGTATACTCTTTCTTTTAATGATCTAAACTTCAAATGTATCAGTAATAGCATCAAAATGAATGTACTATGACGCAAGTATGGAAGGGAGACAATTTTATATGCAGAAAAAAACGGAAACCGAGCAGTGGTCACTGAAAATTTGACAACGGTAAAACAAATAAACGTTGATGGCGAAACCAAATGATATAATTTTTGCTTGTAAATGTTGAAAAGTGTTTAGTAATTCTTTTACATTCTTCTATGATGCATTCTTTTAAAAAATGATGGAACACAAATGAACTGGATGACACAGAAAACGACACCGTGTGGAAAACGGTGACGCCGGCACTAATATCGAAGTCAGCTGTAAAAATGGGATTGAAGAATCTTTTTCTAGCATGATATTGACGGCAGTTTATTATTCAATTTTTGGAAATTTGATGTATAAATCTTCCTGCAAGCATTTTTATTTTTATCAACCACATAGACTGAATATACAGCCAAGGTAGCTGATTGATTATGATCTCGAACTCATGGCCGGCGTTGTTCAGTCAGTGTCTATGAAGATTTGCTTTGTAGAAGGGCTGATGCACGTTCAATTTGTCGAGGCTCAAAATCCTCCCGTGGTGTGGCGTGGAAGTGTATAGGAGAATTTCCAACTCATGTGTCCTCTTCATCATTTGTCAGTGGTTAAAAATAATGAGTTCCGACACCATTAGTCCTCATAGCGACGTAAATTAAAATCCAATCAAAATAGATTAAGTACAGATAAGAAAAAAAATAATGTATAATGTATCTCAAGAATTTTTCCTTTGAAGTGTTAAGGGTTTTTGCATGAAAGAAAACTTGAATTACACCTTTTCATTTCTAATTACTAAAATACAAATGAAGCATATTTCTTCGTTTTTTAAAGTAAGCTTTTGCATAATCTTGGTATAAACGCGGAATTCGATATTCTGTATTAAGTTATTCATTTCCTACTATTAGTTCACACACACTCACTCTCTATTTTTTCGCATATATATCTTGTTCAATTTTTCAATCGTTAATAAAATACTTTTTTATTGATCCACTAAAGTTCAAATACATTTTTTTTTAAACTTGTAGTGGATGACACTTGATGCTAATACAGTTTTTAACTATGAATTCATTAATTTAATTTAATTAATGAATAAAACAGATATAAAAATAACATCATATAGAAAAGAAAAATCGTTCGAGTTATCCCAGTACTGCATTGGATCCCGCGTTGGACTTCTAATCGAAAGGTTGTGGGTTCGAATCCCACCTGGGATGGCCTAATTTCTGAGAATGTGATTTCATTTGACTATGCTATCTTATTTTAAGAATTAAATTTAATTAATGAATAAATAGTAACAAACAAAAATAATTGTCCAACACCATATATAGAAAGAAAAATAGAAAATCACAAGGAAAATACTTTTCTAATTTAACACTTAATATATTCCTGAAATATGTCTATACATATTTATATTAATTGTAATTATTTAATAAAAAGTAACTAAAATAATATTTTTCTTTGTTGACCTAAGTTGGAATTGACTTAAATATTTTTAATCTCATTTGATTTCTACTTAACTTTTATCGGAATTATTTGATTACGATGTTCAATTTCTTAATTTTTAATTAATGTAAAGCTTCTTAATTTTTTTAAAGAAAAATATGTTGTTAAACTGGTGGTGATATATTTGTAGTTACGTATTTTGTGATAGCAATTAAACTTTAGGTATAGTTTCTCGTTTCAATTTATTAAACAGTCCTTGTCTCTGAAGTAGCAAATGGTATTGTGTGAATGAATTTATGTCTTAAAACGCATTAATATCTTAAGGAAAAACATCTTTACTCAAAGTAAAAAAAAACCAAATACCTCTTGGCGCGGTTATGAATTTTAAATTTCCGACAGATGTAAACTTTATACGAAAAAAAAAAGTAATTTCTAATACTTGTTGAAATTTAGTCCCAATTATGTTCCTATTCTTAAATAATTTATTTTTAAATAAATAAATAATAAACATGTTTTCATGTGAAAAACGAAGAATACTCTAAATTACAATATATTTCAAAATTCTTCTAAGGGATTAGTTATATTTTGCCTTCTCCGAAAATAATTTTCAATTTTAACGGGGAAAGATTTTTATGATATTCAGTGATATAATTAGCTTAAATTATTCTATGCTCTTTAATCAAATTTCTGGCGAATCTGAATTTTGCATATGACACAACAAATTGCATTTATATGAGAAATTATACATATTGGCTGTAAATAGGTTAAATTGAGTTCATGTGCATGGAGTAAAAATAACCTTATTATAATATTTCCATGCCGTGAATTAAATCAAAGAGTATTGTTCTATAATAATATTTGGCATACAACTTTGGCAAAATATTGATATAGAACAGTGTCTTACCATATATAAATTACGAAAATTATATTAATTTATATGGGTAGCCGATTTAAAATTCCGAAAACAGAAGGAAGCAGTTTATTCAATTTCAAAACTTTTAATGTATACAATAGTTTAAAAACTATAATAAGAAGATTTTCAGAATGAAAAGAGCAATAGCAGTTTGGAAACGCTAAATTCAATAAGAAAAACAAGGAATACAAAATAATTTATGAATACTTTAAAACTAAATATAGCTCAGTTAGAAGAATACACTGGTGTGCAAAAATTAAGGACGAAGTCGAAACATTAGCATATCAGCTAAAAGAAGAGGCAGAGCGGACAGAAAGACCAATCAGGAGATTAAGTAAGGTGATGTACGGTAGCACATGCGCAGGTATGCAGGTAGACGTAATGGGGGAGTGTCTGAGTAGTATAAAGCATGTTGTCGGTGTAAGATCAGTATTTCTGGCAAAGAGATTGCACGCCGTATAGCAGTTAAAACCACACCGAGTTGCTGCTTCAGCGAGAAATGGCGAATAATCAATCTGTTAGGCGACATCTGGATGCTTTTACCCGAGGTCGAATGATTGGGAAGTTGGAGGAAGGCCGCAGTGTGACAAGTGTGGCTGCAGAGTTCGAAATTGCTCACAGCATCGTTTCACGACTTTGGAGACAATTTCAAACTACAGGAACAGCTATCCGGGGGTTCAGTGATGGTCGTCCACGAGGAACCACACCCGCAGATGACCGGTACATTGTCTTACAGGCCAGAAGAAACAGGCGGCAGACAGCGGGAGAAATCGCTAGACACACGACACAGGCGACTGGACGACCGATATCGCGTTTTACCGTGGCCAGAAGACTGCACGGTGGTGGTCTGTTTGCACGACGCCCTGTACGGTGTGTACCTTTAACGCCTGTCCATTGGAGAAGGCGTTCTCTGTGGTGCCGGGAACACCGGAATTGGAGAGACAATGAATGGGGACGAGTACTCTTTACAGATGAGAACAGATTCAGTTTGAGTAGCGATTCTCATCGCATACTCATCTGGAGAGAGCGGGGAAGCCGCAATCATCCCTCGAACATCATTGAAAGGGACAGGTATGGTGGTCGCGGTGTTCTCGTTTGGGGAGGCATCATGCTTGGTAGTCGTACAGACCTTCACATCTTCGACGCAGGTTCAGTCAACGGGACCCGTTATTGTAACGATATTCTTCTTCCATATGTGCGTCTTTTTAGAGGCGCTATGGGTCTGCAGTTCCTTTTCATGGACGACAATGCACCATGTCTTCGCACAGTAGCTGCCGAACAGCTCTTAGATAGTGAGGATATTGAACGTATGGATTGGCCGGCACGATCTCCGGATCTCAATCCCATCGAGCATGTATGGGATTTTCTAGGCAGACGCTTGGCAGCTCGTACCGTACCACCAGTAACGATTCGGGAGCTTCGATTGGCGCTGCAAGACGAATGGGCAGCAATGCCTCAACAACTCATTGACATCCTCATTCTCAGCATAGGCAGATGCTGTGAAACCTGCCTAGCAGTCAGGGGAGATCATATCCCCTGCTAAAGACCGGATGTTTCTTGCTGGACACCCATCACAGGGATGTTTCGGCCTTCAGTCGCATTGCGCTCCATGCTACTTTTTCAATATCAAGCTTCTTTTTATCCCTCTGATTTCTCTTTTAGTAAGTGTTGCTTACATATTACACATGTCTTTACGCATTGGGGATCTTACGGTACTAAATGTGTTGATTTGGAAAGCTTTTGTACAAAGTTATATTGAAAAAACCGTCTCGTCCTTAATTTTTGCACACCAGTGTATATTTATACAAAAAACAAAATAAACACATACATACTCTTTTGTATAGATAAAATGTTCTTGTACATCAGCGTTTCTTAAAATGGGGGCACGTCCCCCTAATGGGGCTTGATAATCCTACAAGGGGGGCGCGAGCATATCGAAAAGTCGAAAAAACAAAGGTTTATTTAAAAAATATATTAATTAACCGTGTGAGTGAATATTATCATCGCACTGTTCAGCTACACGAGGGCTTTTGGCGACGACCACGTAATTTTGAACCATGATCGAGTGATGTGGACGACACCTGAGCTAGCACCCCTCTCTCCTAACTACCACACCACACAAACGGGAGAACGATTGAGCTCTCGGCAGATTTAACTTGCATCGCTGTCCTACACGGCAGGTCTTTAGTGGTACTGGGCTCAAACTCGTGACAAAGCAAGCCACGATCCGATACCTTGACCACTCAGCTACCAAAGGAAACAAAACGAAATGCTACCTGACATAAAGTAAAATAAAATACACATTAAAACTGATGTGATAAACTTATAAATGTCTCAGTACTACACAACACAATGCATTTGATAATTAACCTAACAATGCTAAGCTAAGAACAAGTTTAATATTTACTTTTGACCCCATGGGCATTATATACAAAATTTAATTTTTATCTTGATAAATTGTAAGGCTTATAATTAAAGTCGTATTTTAGCTTTAGCTTCAAGGTTAATTATTATTGAAATCAGTATATTATATTACTGTACGGATAAGAAGGAGCGATGAAAATTATGATTGAAAATTTGGTAGCAAATATTGTAAGTTTGAGAAGTACTGTTGTACATTGAGTCAATAAGGTGATCAAATTTGAGGTACACTTATTTCTCATACTAGCCCTCTTCATTAAAGAAAATCACCAAGTCCTGTTTTTGCTGGTTTTGATCCCCGAAAATGGATCCTTTATCCTTGCTCTCTTCCTTCTAACGAGCAAAGTTTGTAAGGCTTTCCATTCTCATGTTGATATGCAACCCGCGCGATCACCATTGACTGCTCACTAGTCGTGATTTATGTGAGTGGGATATTTTAGTTAAATTCCGAGGTGATTTGGGATGGAGGAGTATTCAACCAGTAGTGGTAAGCAGGAACGAGCTGTTATCTAGAATTCGATGCTTGTTGATAGTTCTATTCTTTTTCTTCCAACTGCCATTACAATTTTCAGCGTTGTAATTTATTTATACATATCTTTTTATAACGTAGGGTTTTAAAATTACAAAACATTCTATGAAAAGGTAATTTTTTTTATTTTTACACGTAAAGCGCAAGTTCATTTAACATTGCAGTTTTATTGATGAAATATGCGAAAACGCATTTTATACCAGAAAGAATAAATCAAATTAGATAAAAATGGATAACGTAATAAAATATGCAGCTCTCTATAGGATAGAGAAGATAAAAATTTATACTTTTTTACGAATTTTTCTGACTGTAGAAGTAAATATTCAATTTTGGGGGTTCTATTTTATTTAACATTTCACAAAAACCGCTTTATAAACGGTAACTATATTTCTCTTAACTCTCACTCAGCATAACTATAAGTCGAGGAGATTCAGCACGACTTGTCAATCTTAACTTTGGGCTATCGCCGTTATACTAAAATAAAATGATAAATCGTATGCATAAATGTATAAGTAATAACCTTTCAATATTTAATTCTAGCATGCATTTTTTCTGGTATCTTAAATATGAATACCATTTTTATAAGCACTAGTATTTCATTTTCCTCTTTAAAAGGACTGAATCCTACAATTTGATATATATTTCTTATTTGTAGAAAAACTAATATCTAAGTACCTTAAACATACATTACTTATTGACTACTTGACGTCTAAGTTTTGATTAAAACCACATGTGCAGTTTCTAAACCACGTGATTAAATCATCTCTATTATTACCTTCATCGAATTTCTCTAGTTGAGTGTGTATGTGAGGATTCTTATGTGTCTCATTTTTCGATCTTGCAGTTTTCACACTTGCTGCGAAAGAACGCATAATGTTTCCTCAATCCTATGCTCAAAATAGTTTATA